AATAGTAGGTCATTGTGGAGGGAGAACTCCAGAAACTTGCTCTTCTCCCCCCACCATCCCCACCTTGCCTCCCTCAACGACAAGGACGTCACCATGGTTGGCCAGGATGAGGACGTGAGTACCTGTGTAACCCAGAGCATCGTTAAAGTGTTTGAGCTCACACTCACCAGGACATCATGCTGGAGCTGCACATCGCTCTCGCGTTCGCGAGGCGTCACAACGCCTTCCTCGTCGAACATCTCGTGACCCTTCAACACGAGAGAAATGCACTACGTCGAAGGGTTCGCCAGCTTGAGGCCCGCGGAGTCGTCCCCGCCGTCCCCGACGTCGCACCCGACGTCGTCCCCGCCGTCTCCGTCCCCGCCGTCCCCGTTCCCGTCCCCGCCGTCTCCGTCCCCGCCGTCCCCGTCCCCGCCGTCCCCGTCCCGCCGTTCCCGCCACCCCCGTTGTCCCCCCCCCCGTTGTCCCCGTCCCCGCCGCACCCGCCGTCACACCCGCCGTCGCACCCGCCGTCGCACCCGCCGTCGCACCCGCCGTCGCACCCGCCGTGGCCCCCGCCGTCTTCCCCGTCCCCGTCCCCGTCCCCGCCGTCACTCCCGCCGTCCCCCTGTACACCTTGTGCGATTCGGGGCTCACTTCGTTAACGGTGGTACGCGGTGCGCGGGACTACTCCCTCGGCGGGCATCCCAAGACGGAATACATGCTCTGGTGGTCCTCCCCAACGGCTCCCGACACCCGTCAATACTTCTTAACCCAACATGCTCCATACCCTATCAACGGCTTTATGAGAACCTTGATGGGACCAGAGGCAGAGGCCGAGGAGGACATTCGGTTCAGCACCATTCAAAATGACGCGAACGCCATGGGGATTACAGTGTGGGGCAATCTGGCCCGCATGAACTTCGGCATGTGGGATATTACTTGCATTTCCACCCTCAACGCCGCCCATCATCTCCGTCTTACCGCCCTTTCGGGTGATATATGTGCGGCGAAGGTTTACTACACCATCTATTTCTTCCATGTCCACGGTTTGCTGCGGCGTCACGAAGCTGCTCGCTACATAGTTCGATACTACGCTGGAGACTCCCTCTACCTCCCCGACGACACCCAACTCAGAGTCCTCAAGGGTCTTGCACACAAGGGCAAAAGAATGGCGAGGGAACTTGGTCTCCTCGCAGGCTCCACTCCACAGCCCCTCCTCGACGTTTACCACGCCACCAAGTTCCCATTCCTCCATGGCTTGGACTGCGACGACGACGAGAGCATCGATTACTCCTTGTATATAGACTAGGGCGGCGCGAGTAGGATGGGTGCAACATGTTCTGAGGTTAGGGCTCTGGGTGCAGCTTGGCGATTTGCGCATAGCACTGATGTACGATGACACCTTTGATTTGATCTTTGCTTATCGCCTAATCTGCATGTTTGTCGCGGCTAAATCATACACCGCCATCTGCTACATACCTTCAGCCATGCTTCCAGATCAGAGGACGGCTTGGGGTCACTCACCGCCTGCACCTCCTGAGACATGAAGACACCGCATAATTTGCCCAAATTAGTCAATAGCCCACTGTACCTCCTGAGACATCACGACATCGCTAATGCGCACAATTTACCCAGATTAGTCAACGGCTGACAACCAGCGTGCTTCAATATCACGCAACGACCGCTGCGTCACCTGAGGTGCAAGAAAAGCGCACGGATATTATATTCATGAATGGTGGCTCTTCTGCAACGACGCCCTATCTCGGCTCAGCGACTCCTGAGTGGAAAGGCGGGCGAGCTGCTCGTCACGCCGAGCCCCTTTGTACCCACCCTCCATAGCTACGCGCCTCTTACCCTTGAAGGAGCCGACCATCTTAAATCCTGCTTGGACATACCTGACGATGCCGCCAGGGACGAACTGGGTGAAAGAGAATCGCCTTTTATCGTTGGTCACATCATTCTGTGAAAGCTGGGTGTTGCCGTGTCGCAGAGCTGCGGAACACAGCAACGCTGTACAGCCCGGAGGAAAACGGACGAAAAGCTGCAGTTGAGGAAAATACAACTGGCCGCCTTGATCCGGGTTGAAATCACCGATCGCGGTGATAACACAAGGGCATCCAGGGTAATTCATCGAGTCCAAGTGATCGAGGCATACCGTGTGAGGGCCTAGATTGGCGGTGCAGGCTGGATACAAGCTCGCGCCAGCGAAATTAGGCTTGAGAGAGGGTTTCTCAGTGTAAAATTGGCGCATGACGTCATGGAGGTGCCCGTATGCGAGCGGGAAGTTATGACAAAGTGCTTCTGCACCATTCCATTAGAAGCAGTGTTAAGAAACCACGGAGTTCACTCACGATCTTGCCACTTCGCCACGCGGTACACACTCGGCGAACATAAAACTTGCTTCTCTACGTCCTTCTCCCACCCATGAAAGCGCGAGCCAAGACGGCACGGTTTCTGTCATGCTTGTCAGCCTCATTCAGGCAATTGCAGTATATTTCACCCACCGTCGTGCCGTTCCCCATGGTGAGACCCATTGTGACAGCACCAAACTGTCCCCGTCTCGGAGGGGGTATCGCGCATCCCATAGCCTTGATCTGCTCAGCATGCCCCTGTCGGAGATCTTTGAATAGAGCAGCGACCTTAGTAACCGCCTCCACAAACGTGTCCCCATCGTGGCGGTCAGGGGGCTCGACAGGAGGGGGAACCAGCGCTATCAGAATTCTCCCGTCCTTATCGAGAACATGGAGCTCCGACCTAGATCACGTTCAATATGATCAATATGATATGTGCCAGCTAACTATCCACTCACTTCCCGTCCCACTTGAGGTATGAATACTTCAGCTGCCTCAGATACTCCATCGTGGGCGGCCGAGTAGGTGGTACGACGTGGTTAGGATCCACACCCTGTGGATCAGATCTCTTCGACGTCGTGTCAGACTTATCCACCCTCTTTCGGTCAACGCCCTGATACGCAAACTCGTCCACCTTCATGTCGGCGGTCACAAAACCCTCGATAACCGTCTCCCCGCTGCCGAGATGATGTTCGAGAAAACTCGGGCCGCCTGGGACACGCGGTAATAAAATATCCGCCCTCGCCGTGGGATCGTCCAGCGCGCCATCGAGCGCGGCTTGCAACTTATGCTTGACGTTCGCTTGACGCTTGCGCGTGCGTGCTTTTGCGGCGGCGTTCGCTTTCGACGGGACGAAATCACCCATGTTGAAGGGACGAGTCATGACCTCTGCCCCTGCTACGGGCTCATTCAGATTGGTGTACGTCGCTTATCCGGCTCACTCACATGGAACGTCCTTTGACGGGATAGTGTCGCTCGTACTGAAGGGACGGGACTTTACTTCTGCCTCCGCTGCGGGTCCGGTCAGGAATGGAAGGATGCGTGACCAAGTCACTCACATGAAACGTTCGACGCCGAAAGGGCACCGGGCGCAACGCCACCATCGTCTGTAGGCGAGATTGTGGGGGTGAAATGCGCTGGGATATCTTCAGGAGGGATGCGATCAGATCAAAGCGGCTAGACATGTTGCCTATGACTCACCCACACCCCCGATATCCGGGGCTACCTTCATGCGCATCTTGCGATTTAGTGCGCTCACCAGTTCGTCCTCTGCCGTTCTGTCGTCGTCGGCGTCATGGAGTATTTCCTCGCTCTCTATTGCATCGTAAAGTCCGTCCTCAAGCCTATACACGCTCGCCATACAGGCGACCCCGGAATCCACTGCATAAGCACCGTACTTTGGCCCGTTTCTGGGTGTTGGTCCCTGCAGAGAAGGCTATCAGCGTATGCGCCACCATCGTCAAACTTCGCGGGGCCCACTGCCGCCGCTGATGGAGCGATCTGGCCCGGCGGCCGGGCAGGACGCTCGGAGCGGGACTCCGGGCGGGCGCACCTCACCGTGCGAGCCACCGAGGTCCAAGGCAGAACGCTCTGGGCTACACTCGCACGGGCGCGCTATCAGCAGCACAGGCTGGCCGCCGGGGTCCAGGGCAGAACACTCGGGGCGAGGCTCCTGCCCTAGCCAAGGTCCACGGCAGGACGCTACGGCAGGCGCTCAGGGCGGGGACGGTGACGGGGGGAACGTTTGGCAGGAAACGTGGGGCGCTTGGGGTTGAGAGATGTTGGACTGACCATAACCGTGCCAAAGACGCTCAGGATGGGCGGAGAATGTCTGAGGGGCGGGGGTGGAGAGGCGGTCAGGCTTCGGCAAGGACAATGCGCAAAGTCCCGGGACGCATGGGTATTAGTAGTTAGGTCGTACGCCGCTATGACATGGACGTGCATCGCTGGAGATTCATTAGATGGCATTCCCTTCCTGGCGTCGTTCCCCTTTTACCCCCTCAGAGACGTCTCGATCGTTTTGGGCGTGCCAGAGGCATCCCCATTCCCTGTGGAGACGTTGAGTATCCGCAACATACACAATGTATCCCTTACCTTGGCGATGGATCGCGGGAACAAGCCCTCTGCGGCGGCACGCAATCTCTCGTATTGCAGACTTCGTCTGTTCCATAACAGGTCAGCGTCATTCCAGGGGTGGCGTGTTTACTCACCCCCTGTAGTACACCGCCTCGCCGCTGTTGACGTCCAAATGCAGCTGGTTTGCCATCTCTCCCCAGCGTGTTTTTTCGTACGTCCACATTCCCAGGATTCGGTACATCTCCTCAGAGCAGAGATACACCTCCTCCTCCCATCGCGCCGTAGCCGCCTTCGTGCGGAACCACAATACCTTCAGTTCTAGGACTCATCAGTAACGCCCTGTGTGAGAACCCACACCACTCACTAGCCAGTGCGAATCGCTTCTGGTCCTTGTCGGATATATTCTCCACCCACTTTGCGGAGGACCAGATCCAGTGTGGCACTCGTTGGGTGTCGCCTGCATTCCTCTGGCTGTGGAGCACGGTGAAGTGCTTGAGGTCGGAGTCTCGCAAGCGCGGTGGGATGTCTTTGGCAGACAGGCGAAGTAGAATTGTACGTAGGCGGTGGTACTCCGCTCTTGCTGAGATGGTCGCCTCATGGAGTTTGATCGGCTCGGAGCGAGGCTTGCGTTTGGCGTGACGAGAAGGGGGAGGGGCTTTGGCACCAGCTTCCGTCTTCTCCCGGAGATCGGATACGGAGGTCGTAAGGACAATGGAGCGTCGCACGTTGTCCAGGGCATCTTGCACCATCTGTTCTCGGAGCTGAGTCTCCAGGCGTACGAAAGGAGAGAGTGCCTTTCGTTCCCGAACGTCCTTGTGGAGCATAGAGGGGAGCAAGACGTCGATCAGTCTCACCTCTTCGGCCCATTCTCGCAAGGTCCCATCCAGGATGAGGTTGTTCGCGCGTTGGTCTTCCATTTGATCCTTCTCCGTGGTGTGAGGTATGTCTTCAAAGGAGTCGTATCTTGGGAAGTCTCGGGGCATGTTTCGTGCCGAGGATTGGTAGACGCCGATGGCGGAGGCGATATGTCGCCCTATGTGACGGTCGTAAGTCTCTTTGCAGCTTAGGACCTCCTCACGGAACACCTTCATTCGTTGGGTGACGAGCCGTCGTTGACGGTCCTTCTCCGCGCCCTTGATCCTATCGACACGTCTAAGTTCCACCTTACGATTAATGAGGTACGAATGAATCGTTCTTTATGGGGTGGGCTCTGGCTGCGACGCGCGACACCCTTAGTGCGACCCGTGGGAATAAAATTTCAGACTCCTATTACTCTTCACTAGCACAGCCACTTCCCACGCATAGGTTTGCTACTTACTCCTATCACCCTAGCTCTGGGTTAGGGTCCCCATGTAGGGTTCCACTAGCGCTGGGTTTGCACTGCCACCTGGGCCCAGCGCTTCACTCCCTGATACACTTTGTAGTGCCTATTAGTGTCTATACCTATTCAACTAGACTGAGATGGGCGCTCTTTTAGGGCTTCAGTCAGACTCTATGTGGACTACTACTGTGAATATACTCAAGATTTATTGGAATTGATTCGAGTTTTGAAGGGCTGCTTTCAGAAAAGTGAGGCTTCCGCAAGTTATTAGACGCCCAGTGGCTGTATCGTCCTGTCTCTGCTCATTGCACCTATGCCTGCCTACTAGTAAATCAGATCAATTCCCTATAATGTTGATTATATTCGTGAACCTAGTCCACATAGGAGCCAGTCTAGATGTCAACAAAGCGCTCATATCAATGCAGTGTTGGAAGCATTGCAAGGTCTATGACATATGGTTCATATGTTGTAACTGTTGGTATGAGCTCAGATGATGTCCGTTTTGGATGGTCTTGAGTGCGTTCGATGCGCATTGATCAGAGGGACTAATATGTTATGTCACGTGATTCTAGAAGCAGATGCGATGGAATGGCTTGAGTAACACTGCTGCAGCACTATATGTACTGTATATGGCTGATTATAGGCTTGTTTCTGAGCCAATCACTATGTGTGTAGGTGTATTAGAACGCCTATTCGAAGGGCTACAAGACAGTATATGTTATGTTATGTATTGTGCTTTGCAGCTGCTATACTGTAGCAACTACTGCTTGGCAGTGTTGACTGGGTTATAGCGCTGTGCCTGGGAATATGCTTATGTAACATACACCGTTCAAAAGCCACTTACGAGACGTACTTGGAACAGCTTGAGTCATAAGAAACAGACAAGAAATGAGCAATAGAGAGTGTAAGCAATGTTCCCAGATGCAGTTGCCTAATATGGTGTGTGAGAAAACTGTTACATAAGCGCCAGCAGCGCGCACTCTCATCGCTCCTGCCACTGCTCCTCCTCTCTTGGGGGACTCTCGTCCACCCTTCGCCTCTGTTGCCTGGCTTTTGGCCAAAGTCAGTGCTTATGAGTGGGAGGATGCCCCCCACAGTCCCTGTGCTCCTGTACCATGCCTACTCGGTGCACCGATTTAGAGCGGTGGTCTTGAGCCTGGGATGCCTGTGACATTGCCATTTCGGGTGGCCTGGTCGTTGGAGCACAGACCGAGTTCTGTGTGAGATGGATTCAGCATTCTCTTCAACTCTCTGATAAGCTTTGGGTGTGTGTGGGTGTTAGGTAAGTGTGCCTTTGTTGATTTGCTCATTCCCATGGTACATTGACGTCACTGTACCTTGTTCCATGCCCCATTACCTCCAGAACACTGCCAGATTGCTCCCAGGTGTGTACTCTTTCTGTTGACCCCCCATTCATCCCCCACTTCGCATTTTTCATCCCCCTGTGCACCTACTGATGATGTGGGTTGGCACAGCGCTCATGGGCGTCTATTTCAGAGGCGCCCATTGGGCTGCTACATCCACAAGCCTTGCATGCCATCCATCCCTTTCCCATGGTTGGATCTGCTTCATTTTTGGTAGATAGGCACTAGTAGCACTGCCCACATGATCTATGTACTTTGTTTTATCATTTTGTATGCTTTGAGCCCATAACAGCGTATTTGGAGCCTGGGACCAGCCACCTAGCCCATCTCAGCGCTTCTGGGCGCTTATTTTCGCTCTCAGCCACAGCCACCACTGCCAGCTACTGCAAGCCACACCAAGCCACCTAAAATTGTCATCCACAAGCCCTGGCTGCAATCCATCCTCTTTTGGTGGGGCTGTGCTGCCCAATCTTTGTCAGCAGCCTCTCTCATGCCTCTCCACCATATATGGGCACTGTTTGGTACTATTTGCCTCCTCCTGCCCCTGCCACAGCTGCCACAGTGGCTGAAAGTGCAGCTAGGTGCCTATTTTGAACGCTTTTTTCAAACTCAGCTCAGCTCAGCTGGTACAGCACCTAGGTGGGGGACCCAGGAGCCTTGGGTTCAATCCCTGGTAGTGCCGCTTTTTCTACATGTGGCTGTGCTATGCAGGCCTGGTTGTAACAATGGGTATTCAGGCTTTGTAAAATCCAATCAATTGCCTAAAACCCCGATTATATTCATGAAAGCAGCTACTATAGAGTGTGTTACTAATCTACCTACAGCTCGACTTTATATCCATTAGATCAGGCACAGTGTAGATGTTATCACTGGTGCCTACTAATTTTGGATAGCTCCTGTGACCTCAGTTCTTATCTGTTTGGGGTGATTGTATATACATCAGAAAGCTATGTAGAAGGCCTATATAACTGCAACCCCTTTGTTGACCCTAGTCCCCCTTCAAGTGTTCTTGCAATGTAGAATGATAGTGCATACTCTGTCTATGCAAAATCAAATACAGCACCTAAAATCTTGACGATATGCATAAGGGCAGCTATAACACAGTGTGTTGTACTATATTGGATTTTATCTGCATAGTAAGCACTTTAGTACTAGCTTTCACAATGTTTACACTTCTGCTATATATTATGTTTTTGTTCGCCTATGATGATAGTGGTGGTGTTTAATATAGCTTATTAAGGTCTCTCATATCTTCTCATTATATCCCATATCTCATTAATCATTTTCTGCCAGTAATGGCCCACTCCTACCAAGTGAATTTCGTGCCTGGGGAGAATGAGCGCAGTGCCCGTGTTGCGATCGACGAAAACGTACCCATCTTCCCACAGGTTGACCGCTTGCACCATAGCTGCGACGTTTCCAATGGTTCGGGTGTGGTCCGTGTGGCCATGAGCACTCAGCGGAGGCAGCTGTGGCTCGGAGAAAGACATATCTAGTACAATGGATCCCACGTCAGTCTGTCTCCGTACACCCTTAGTTAGCCTGGAAACTAACCTTCATCGACATGGAGCACAAATGGATTGAGGCAGGCAAGATCGTCGTCTTCCGTTGGGTCGGCGATCGTATCTAGCCATGCTTCCATCTCCGTTTCCCAAGTGCCCAAGAGATCGTCGGGTATAGTGGACTCTAGACTTCGCATGAAGTTCTGGTGCTTCTTCCGACGATCGAGTGCCTTGTCGTGACGCTTTTTAATGTCGCTGTCTGTTGAAAGAAGCGTCTCAGGGTCTAGCGTAACGTATTAACCCTCCTTATGAGAACTCACTGATGTTGTACATCTTCGTCTGATTGTGATTGTCGACAGCGAACGTGAGGGTGTCTTCTCGATTGCCTGGACCCATCTCTTGCGTGCGCTCTGATGTCGGGTCGAGCTCCGCCCAGCACTGCTCGGTCTCCTCCCCTCCCACTCGGGCGGTACCTCGATGGGTCATGGAGTTGTACACGGTTTGGCATTCCTCCTTGTGCGCCTTGATGTGAAAGTCTCCGATGGAAACCTCGAGTGCGGGATAGTATTTCTCATCCTCATCGTCACCGGTGTCCGGGGGGTCGCTGTCGCTGTCGCTGTCGCTGTCGCTGTCGCTGTCGCTGTCGCTGTCGCTGTCGTCGTGTCTGTCGCTGTCGTCGCTGTCGTCGCTGTCGTCGTCGTCCTTGTCGTCCTCGTCCTCGTCCTCGTGGTCGCCGCCGTCGGCGTCGGCATCGCTGTCGGCGTTGGAGTGCTGGGAGTCGGCGTCGGCGTCGGCGTCGGCGTCGGCTTCACTCTGGTGGTCCCCGGGTCTGGACAGGAAGTCCTTCATGCGCTTCTTCAGATTCACTGCAAGCATACATCCCACGTCGTACCAGATCTTGAACCTTTTGAGCGTGCGGAAAGGCTGGGATGCATTCCATAATGAGAAGTGGATGAAGGCAAAACTGAGTGTGTGTCAGATGTGTCGAGTCCATCTACGACTATACGCCTACCGTTCGCCTTTGTTCAAGTTAATCATGCTGCCGCCAGCAACGAATCCATGTCTGCACACGCCTGCGATCAGGCCCGTCACGGAGCCGACGTGTCCAGTGTGCCCGCTGGCCTTGAAGTTGTTGCAGTCGCTGGGCTGTTGGGGTGTTATGTCAGGACATCGTGCACATATGGGCCTTCAGAGCCCGACCGAGCTTACCTCCTTGTCCTTGTCTCCAACCATCTCCATGTGTTTGGCGACGTCTTCAGAGTTGGCGAAGTAGGAGCTGAGGGCGGCGTACGCAAGGTCTAGGGGGTCACTCGTCTTTGGTCGTAAGAATTGCCTGAAGTTTCCGTCGAACTCGATGAACCACTCGTCCAGAAAGCTGAAAATCGGTCAGGCATGGCCTCTGTTGTGACAGGTTATATATTACCTAAACAGAGCATCTCTCCATTCCCAGTCTGGGCGCATGTTCTTGCCCGGGTGTGGGCAGGCCGGGCAGAGGGTCACCAAGGCGTTGTGTTTGAAGGGACACCCAGGACGGTGGGCGTGACGCAGACAGAGCATCAGGTAGGCATACTCGCGGGTCGCTTGTAGAATCTCCCGTTCTCGATTCTGCGCGGAAATGTTAACGTGCGATCGATGTTCAGAATGCGTCTTCGTACCTGCACCGACCCAGG